TATGTGTGTGTATGTGTGTGAGTGAGTGAGTGAGTGTGTGTGTATATGTGTGTGTGTGTGTGTGTGTGTGTGTGTGTGTGTATGTGTGTGTGTGTGTGTGTGTGTGTGTGTGTGTGTGTGTGTGTGTGTGTGTGTGTGTGTGTGTGTGTGTGTGTGTGTGCATGTGCGTTAGTGTGTGTGTGTGTGTATGTGTTGTTTTGTGGATGTTTAAGATGTACTGTTTATCTCAAATAAACTCCTGACAAACACTAACAAACAGCATTAAATAACAAGAATAACAAAGTAAACCTACAATGAAGGTCACACAAAAAGTAACGAAAACAAGAAAACATAAGCAAATAAATGCAGTAAAATGACAAAAAAAAAAAAAAAAAAAAAAAAAACAGAAAAGAATAAAAATAAATTAAAAAGAGAAAATGAATTAAAAATAAATACACATCAGATTATCAAGAATAAGGAAAATGATAAAAAAAAGGCGAATAAAAATTATTTTGATGAGAAAAAATACATATTGCATGACATAAGAAAGATAAATACAAATAATAATAATAATAATAATAATAATAATAATAATAATAATGATAATAATGATAGTAATAGTAATAAATAGTAATAGTAATAAAATAGTAATGATAATGATAAAATGATAATATTGATGATGATGATGATAATAATAACAATAATAATAATAACAATAATAATAATAATAATAATAATAATAATAATAACAATAATAATAATAATAATAATAATAATAATAACAACAATAATAATAATAATAATAATAATAATAATGATAATGATAATAATAATAATGATAATGATAATAATAATGATGATGATCATAATAATAATGATAAAACAACAAAAACAACAACTCACAACAGCCCCTCCCCCCCTGTAAAAAGATACGACAATAAAAAAAATAAAAAAATAAAATGGATATTAAAACCTGAAACAAGCAAACGTACAAATAAAAAATCACAAATCTAAACAAACAAACAAACAAAAAGACACTTTTAAAAATAAACACTCTTTAAACGAGTAGACTTTTAACAAATATTGTTTAAACAAAGACTTTAAATACTATAAAGCATTCTTGAAACAAGACACCTTAAAAGCAAACACTCTTAAAAAACACAGACTTTTAGGGAACAAACACTCTTTAAACAAGCAAACACTCTTAAAAAACAAAGACCTTAAAGGAACAAAGACTTTAAACAAGCAAACACTCTTAAAAAAAAGCAAACACTCTTAAAAAACTAACATTTTTAAACAAGAAAACACTCTTAAAAAACAAAGACTTTTAAAAAGCAAACACTCTTTAAACAAGCAAATACTCTGTAGACAAACGCTCTTTAAACAAGCAACCACTCCTAAAAATCAGACTTTAAAGGAACAAACAAACTCTTTAAACTCGCAAACCCTCTGAAGACAAACAGAAGGCCTCGACTCACATTGAGCCTCCAGGACACGCGAGAGGCTTGAGGATTAGCATAGACGTCGCACTCGAAGTAAACGTCGTCGCCTTCCTTGATGTTCTCGACGTCCAAGGAGGAACCGAACCGCGCGGTGGCAGTGGGGCGGTCTGGGGGAGGGGGGGGAGAAGGGGGGGAAAGGTGGGGGGGAAGGGCAGGGGAGGAGGATGGGGGGGGATGGGGGGAGGAGGTGAAGGGGACGGGGAGGAGGAGTGGGTGAAAAGAGGGGAAAGGTGGGGAGGGGGAAGGGAGAAGGGGAAGAGGGAGGAGGAGGGGTGAAGAGAGGGAGGAGGAGCGGGAGAAGGGGAGGAGGAGGGGTGAAGGGGAGAAGGGGAGGGGGGAGGAGGAGGGGTTGAAGAGGGGGAGGAGGAAGGGGAGAAGGGGAGGGAGGAGGAGGGTGAGAGGGGGGTGAGAGGGGGGCGGGGGGCAGAAGGAGGAGAGAAGAAGGGGGTGGTTAGTGATGGTGATGATCACTGATAATAGCGACAATAATAATAATGAAAATGATGATGATGATAATTATAATGATAATAATATATGATAATAATAATGATAATGAAAATAGCAGTCATAATAACGAAGATGAGGATAATAGGGATAGTAATGATACTAGTAATAGTACCAATAACAACATCAGTAATGATAGAAATATAATGTTAATGATAATAGCAATGATGATGATGACAATAATAATAGCAACAATAACGATAATAACAATGACAACAATTATAATGATAACAGTAACAATCATAATAACCGAAACAATAATAATAATGATAATAATAATAACAATAATAATAATAATAATATCAATGATAATAACAATATTAATAATAATAAAAATAATAATATTGATAGTAATAATAATAATAAAAAAAAAATAATAATATCAATAATAATGATAATAATAATAATAATAATAATAATAGCAATTCTTTCCAAAAATGTAATTCGCTTTCGCGTTTATTTGACAATAATTGGCGGAGCCCCCGATAGTCAAATACCCCAATGGAGGGAGGCCC